CCCATCCTTCTGGGTTCCATTCTTTCACGTGGGAAATTCACTGTAGTTCACATTAGTGTTATTTTGAAGATATTTTCTGACTTCAGTTCTCAGGAGTTTAATCATAGTGTGTGATGTTGTGGATTTATTTGGGCTTATTCTACTAGAGGCTAAACCAGGGTCTGAGATCAGTAAGTGTCTATCTGTTGCCAAATACGGGAAGTTTTAAGGCATTTCTTTGAGTATTTTTCAGTCCTACTCTGGCTCTCCACTCTTTCTGGATCCCATGTGGCCTCTTGTTACTATCCTACAAATCACTGAGGTTATGTTCATTTTTTTTTCTCTCCTTCTACTTTTTTTCTCTTGTTTCAGATTGGATCAGTTTTATTGGTCTATCTTCAAGTTCACTAATTCTACCCTCGGTCATTTCCACTCTCCTATGAAGCCCATCTAATAAGCTTTGCACTTTCGTTTATATATTTTTAGTCCCCCAATTTCCTTCTGTTACTGTTATCGATTTCTAATTGAACTCTAAAAACCTCTTTTCAACATTTATTTGTTCTGGTTTGGTTTGGGGTTTGTTCTTCCTTTTTTATGATATAGAGTTTTATACTTTTGTCAAATCTCTCTGCCTTCTCTATGGCTCCTGCCTCTCTTCTATGCATCCCTGCACTTATGCAGTTATTTCTTTCTTCTTTGATATCTTCTTATTTAACATGTACTTCTTTAATCAATTTGAAGTTTATTTTATATTAGGGAGTGAAAAGGGGATAAAATTTAATGTTTTTCCAAATAGTTAGACACGCTCCTTTTCCATTTGTTAAGTAAGTCATTGCTTTGGATGGCTGTCTTTGTGATCTACTGAATCTATCTACAAATTTGGACTGCTTCTGGCAAATTTTCCACCTTTATTCACTTCTAGGGCTTCCTTAGGCAGTGAAATCTTTTTTTTCTTTTGGTACTGAGGCCAAAATCCTTTACCACTGAGTTACGTGCCCAGTCCTTTTTATTTTATTTTATTTTTTAATGTTATTGTTAGACAGGGTCTTGGTAAGCTGGTGAGGCTAGCCTCAAATTTACCATCCTGCTGCCTCAGCCTCCTGAACTGCTGGGATTACAGGCATGTGCCACACTTGGCTGGCAAGGCAGTGAAATCTAGAGTGATTCACTGATCCTCAGGAACCAAGGGAATAAAAGATAATAGCTTGAGAAAAACTACCAAGTGCTATAAAAAAAAGAGACAATAATATGAACAAATTTTTTTCCTCTTTTCTTTTCTTTTTTTCAATACTGGGAATTGAACGCAGGGCCTGTGCATGCTGGGCAAGCTACTCTACCAGCAAATATCTTATAGAGAACAAACTGAGCTATCTGCTACAGAGGAAACCAAAGTCATGAGAAAATGAAAAAGTAAGCACGATCAATATTCTCAGAGAGAAAAAGAACAAACATGAACAAGGAATTATGAAAAAAATTAGAGATATAGATTATGAAAAGGAAAATTGTTGAAATAAGGAAATTCATAAATGCAATGACCAGCAGGAAGAAAAATTGGGGATGGAAAGACAGAGTCAAGGAGCACTCCCCAGAGACAGTGGGAAGGAAGAAAGTGATGGGCAAATGTAAGGGAAATTAAAATTGTGGAGTATAGGATCAGAAATGTCAGTATCTCCTCAAAGAAGTTCCAGAGTAAGGAAAAAAAAAGAGTACATGAAGGGGAGGAACTACTTCACAAATAATACTAAAATTAATAATACAGAATTAAAGAAATATATGACATTTAATGTATAATATATTTAATGTATTCAGAGAATTCCAAATAGGATGAATAATTAAATACCCTACATTAAGACACTTTGTAATAATTTCAAAGGAAAACAATTATAAAAGTTTCCAGAGAGATAAAATGAATCAATTAAGACCAAGAAAAATAAAATGAATATCAGAATTTTCCATAACAACATTAGAGCTAAAAAGAAGATACGTAATGTAAAAAGTAATAATATGTGGAAAATTTTAAATAAAAATAACACTTTTAGATGTTAAGACATGGAACTTACCACAAGTTTGAAAATGGTAGTAAAAAGAATTAAGACAATTTTGAGGCCACAGATGGAAAGGTAAAAAGTTACAAAGCGTATCTCTTAGCATCTGAATTCATAAAGGTGTATTTTTATTTATTTCTCTTTTATCCCTTTGCTAAAGTTCTTTAAGTGATTCTCATTATTTCTGTACTGTGTAATTTGTCCCAATTTGTATAAATTTAATAAATCAAGGAAGGATTAAGTTCAGCAATATACAACTGAAAACCAGAGTGGTGGATTTACTGCATGAGTGCTTATGTTTATGTATTACTTTAAAAAAAAAATTTTTTTTTAAGTTGTAGACGGACACAAAATACCTTTATTTTATTTTTATGTGGTGCTAAAGATGGAACCCAGTGCCTCACACGTGCAAGGCATGTGCTCTACCACTGAGCCACAACCCCAGCCCCTATATATTACTTTTATTATCAAATTTCCAACAAAGCACAGAAGTAGAGATAGCATACATCTAACCCCTATGGACCATCGCTAGCTACATTTATTCTCACTTCCCACTTGTTTTTCCCCTGCAAGACCAAGCCATAGGTGGTGCTAAGTACTTCAGAGACTCACAAAAAAGCACATAATTTCTAGTTACCTAGATTTGTGGTTCAGGCAACAAAGCTGGCAGTATTAATTAGATGTCTGAGATTCTGCAACTCAGTTGATCTCCCCTGGGTATAAATCCTGAAGGAAGTTTCACATGAGAGAATAGGATGAAGGAGATCCATCACAGGATTGTTTGCAACACGGAAAAGCGAAGGAAAAACTGCACATGAGCCAGGCATGGTGGCATACGCCTGTAATCCCAGTGGCTCGGGAGGCCGAGACAGGTGGATTGCGAGTTCAAATTCAGCCTCAGCACCAGTGAGGTGCTAAGCAACTCAGTGAGACCCTGTCTCTAAATAAAATACAAAATAGGGCTGGGAATGTGGCTCAGTGGTCAAGTGCCCCTGAATTCAATCCCTTGTAACCTGCCCCTCCAAAACAAAACTGCACATGTCCAATGGATGGACACCCATCTGGCATGCACTAGGAGGGATGCATTCCATAGAATAAGCTGCAGCACTGAAAATCAGTGCCTGGGTATTGGAAGCACCCAGCCACCAGTGAAATCAGCACGTGAAAAGGGAGTAACACAATTGCTTTTGTGCAAGTTAAAAAATACAGTCACAGGAAAAAAAAAATACTGCATATTTTACATGCATTCAAAATCAAGTTTCCATCCCAAATGCATCAGAGGGGTTGCCTTGGTGGGGAGGCAGTTGAAATAGGAAAAGGGGTAAAAAGACTAAATTAAACAAATGAAGCAAAAATGGTGTCTGCACAGATAGGTGATGGTCATGTGGTGTGAGCCAAGCTACAGATGAGGAAACTTCTATACTTGACACCCCAAAACAGAAGGAAAAGGAGATGCATTGTGTTTCATATTCTGTGCTCTCTGGATGGTGTCCTTGTCCATGGCTGGCATTCAGGTAGTATGCAGTAGCTGTTCATGGAGGACACCCATTCTGAGTGGCCAGTGCCCAGGCTGTGCTGCATGTTAAATGTTTGAACTATGACGCTGGCCTTGTGTTGTTCTATGGATGGTATCTTGTTTGTAGGGCTTGGTTTTCTCTTTCAGGCTACGAGAATTCCTCACAGGACCAACAACAGAATATCAGACCCTGGTGGCCAGATCTTCTTTGTGGATGAATATTTGGGCTCCCATTGGGGGAGATTTGGGGCATTTTAATTGCGTCTGAGTTTTTTTTTTCACCTTCTAGGACTTCTTCAGTTTCCAGTCTGCAGATCCCAGCCTTTGAAGTTTCAATTTTATGATTTATATTTAAGTCATTTTATCTCATTTAAGATACCTGGGTGAGAGGAGAGGAAGCCAAGGGAGACAGGTGTGCCATCTTGCTCAGTCGCCACGAGACATTTCAACCCAAGGGTTTGATCCAAGGTCCCGAGGAAGCAAACAGCTCTCCCAGTAACAGAGTCCACAAAGGATCCTGATGCCCAGCTGGGCAAGGAGACTGAAGGAGGGAGTCCTGGGAGAGGAGGAGCCCATGTGGAGTAGGGGAAGATCTCAGCTGAGCCTTGCACAGAGTGGGAGGCAGATAAACTTCCCATGGTTGGTCAGCTTGGAGGGAGGTCAGAGCCAGGAAAATGGATCGTGAAGTGCTCAAATCCAAGGTGAGGGTCACCCCTGATGAATTCAGCGACTGGAAGTTTTCTCCTGCTGGCTTTTTCTCACAGAGCTGTGGTGTTCAATGCTCATGGGAGTGTCCAGTAGGGGGCCAGGGGAAGGGAATAGGTATTGTTCCTGTATCCAGAGATGTGGCTGAATGGACCCAAAGTTCTGGGGCCTGGGCTGTGCTAGCAGAATCAGAGACCCCCATCATTACTGTCCCAGCCATGTCCTACGACCCTGAGGAAAGAAGGTGAGGAAGAAACTCATAAATTAAAGTGAATCCTTCCCTACCCCTCTTGGCTGCCCCTTTCTCTTAACCTGACCCGTTCCCTGATCTCCAATCCTTCTGCCTTTCTCCCTTCTACCTGCCTCCAGCCCTCCTCTTCTTTTCCCCAGTGCCTCCAATATTCTCTGCTCTTCTCCCTCTGAAGACAGAGACTGGGGAAGGGCCAGGGCATGAGCCTCCAGGAAAGCTTCTCTCGTTCCCTGAGGTTCATTCTTTAAGAAATAATGAGTATTTCAATTAGACTCAGCTGTGACTTTCCCCGGCCATCTTCGTCCATTGGACAGAAGCTGGCCCGGCTCCACGGCCACCCAACCAAACCCAGCTCACTCACCCGGGGTCGCCAGAAGCTCAGGAGCACACACAGGATGAAGAGCACCAGGCCCTTGGCCAAGAGGAGTCCATACTGCACTGAGAGCAGGAGCTCAGGGGACGCAGGGCCCGGGAAGGAGGAAGAGCCTGACTCCCTGGAGGAGGGGGAAGGAGGAGAGAACATGGGCAGGGCGTCCTTGTCCCTCTGTCCCTGAGCTAGGATCCCTGTGGCTAGAGCCTAATTAGGTGCATAGGGATCCACCCTGAACTCACTGTGAAGGAACAAAGGACTCATGGGTGCAGACAGGGGCCACAGGGGTCTCTGAGCTGCAGAGGAGCCCTGGTCACAGGAAACCCAGGCTTATTGGATGGAAGGAAAGAGAAGAGCCAGGTGTCAAAGCTCAGCTGCTGGGATCCAGAGAGCCAGGGGAGCGGGCAGGCTCCCTAACCAGGTCAGACAGACAGGGCCAATAGGAGGGCCCAGAAACAAGAGGCAATGTGGCCAGACCACAAAGGCAGACCGCTGGGAGGAGGCAGGCCCCAGAATCAGAGCTCATGTACCAGTGCAGGGTCCATGGAGAGGGACTCTTGGGACCCAGACATCAGGGGGCCTGAGTCGTTGCCTTATCTCTGATCCTAAGTGGCTGGTCAGGCCCTGTAAACAGTCTCATTTCCTCAGCTGTGATATTTTGCCTGATCTCAGAGATGCTCTGCATCCGCCCTGGCCTGGGTGGGGCTGCCTGGGAGACAGGAGCACTTCCACTTCGCAGCACGGCCTCAGCCTTCCTGGGGCCACATCTCTTGCAACACCCAGTACTTCACAGGGTCCTTACTTTGCCAGTTGAAAGGTGCAAGATGGCAAGTTCTGGTTGACGTTTCTTGAATGTTTTAACAAGTGTGGGCATCACTGTATGCCTACTGCCGTTCCCTCTTTAATAAATGCCTTTAATGTGCTTAGCCATTTTCCTTGGGGATGCCCGTCTTTGTATATTATAGACACTATTACCACATTCGTTTGAGACATTTTTAATTAATATTTTTCCCAGTCTGTTATCTGCTTGAGAAGTTTTCTCACGATGTTTTTCCATTGAATAATTGATTCCTCATTTTTGCCTTATAGTTTGTGCTTTTAATTATTTTTTCCTAGATCCCAATTTTTTATTTTTATTTTTTGATTGACATGTAATAGTTGTACACATTTATGAAGTACAATGTGATATTTTGATTCATGTATATATTGGGTAGTGATTTAAAGCTTTGTATAGAAGTCCTTCCTCACCTCTAGATCACCCAAATATTCATCTGTAGTATTTTTTTTCTATTAACTTAATCATTTCACTTTTCATGTATATGCAACTGGAATCCATCCAGAGTTCGTCTTTGTATATGGGTAGGAATCTACTTTTTTGTTCATTTTTTTCATTTTCAAATAGATTTTGCCAGTTATTTCAAGGATGTTTTCCAAATAATGGGCCCTTTGCTCCATTGGTTTGTATCACCTCCTTATTTTAAGTATGTTCCCTTTATATAGGCAGATCTGTCTGGAATTCTTTAGCCATTTATCAGTTCTGACCCAAGCACTGTGCTGCTATTAATAGTATCACAATATTTTGTAGGATAGAGCCTGTTCTCCATTTTTGCATTTTCATGGTAGACTTAGCAAGTCCTGTATCTTTATGTTTCTGTATAATTTTAGAGAAAATTTATCAAGTTCTTTTTAAAAATTAAACTAAAGTTGAGTTTGGAGTCACACTTATGGACTTTTTTAATTTGCAAGAAATAGAAATCTTTGTAATATTATTGTCTCATTCAAGATCATGCATTATTTCTCTTCACTCAGATCACCCACATCATTTATTAGCAATCAAAGATTGTTCCCCAAAGAGACCTTGGTTAAATTAATTCTCTATAGAAAGTTTAAAGCTTTTATTTCTGAAATGAATAGATCTTTTTTTTTTTTTTTTTGGTACCAGGGATTGAACCCAAGGGTCTTGCTTAACCACTGAGCTACATCCCCAGCCTTTTTTTTTTTAATTTTGAGATAGGGTCTCATTAAGTAGCTTAGGGCCTCATTAAATTGCTGAGGCTGGCTTTTAACCTGTGATGCTCCTGCCTTGGCCTTCCAAACAGCTGGGATTATGGTATGTATCACTGCACCAGCTAGTATCTTATTTTGATTAGATTTTTTTCTAAGATTTTTTTTTCTTAGAATTACTTTTGATTTGGGTCAGTTGGTCTTACTATGTCTGGCAGCCTCTTTCATGAAATCTAATAGTTTATTGATTCTCCCTATTTCTAGGTTAGACGATTTCATCATCTATCTGCATATTTGACAGTTTTGACACTTCTCTAATCTTCTTTCCTCTTACCTATCCTCCTTTCCTGGGAGCAGTGGCCAGGACCTCTAATACTATACTAAACATTAGTGGCATCTATAAAAATCCTTTATTTGCATTTATACTTTCTCTACTCAGTAACATTTATTATAGTCATAAAATACAATGACCAAGTTTTATCTTCCTATTTCTATTTAATTAAGAGTTTTCCTCAAGAATATGTTGAACCCTTTTCAGCCTGGCACAGTGACACATACCTGTAATCCCAGTGGCTCGGAGGCTGAGGCAGGAGGATCGCAGGTTCAAAGCCAGCCTCAGCAAAGGCAAGGTGCTAAGCAACTCAGTGAGACCCTGTCTCTAAATAAAATGCAAAATAAGGCTGGGGCTGTGGTTCAGTGTTTGAGTGCCCCTAAGTTCAGTCCCCAGTACCCGCCTCCAAAAAAAGAATATGTTGAACCTTTCCTAAGGCCTTTTCAACATTAGTTGATCTTTTCCCTAGAGTTTACTAATTTGGTTCATTTACATTGATAGATTTTCTAAAGTTGAACAATCCTTTCAGTCCTGGAATAAACCCCTCCTGATCATAATCCACATATTCTTTTTCGTTACACTATTGAATTCACTCAGCAATGATTATCTTGATTTTGATTGTATGTTCATGGTGAACAGATAGTTTGATTTCTTCTATTTCCTGTAACCAGTTTTAATATTAAGATGACACTAGCATCTTCAAATGTTCTGAGCAGGCTTGGCTTCTTTTCTATTTTCTGCAACATCTTGTATAAAATATAAATCAAGTGTTTCTTAAAAGTCTGGTGATATCTACGAAATCATCTCAAATTTTCTTTGAAGACTATTTATCTAACGTTTCAGATTTTTTTCATATGTACTAATCTACTCAAATCTACTTTTTATTGTGTTACCCTTAGACTATTATAACTTAGAAATCTGTCTGCTCCTAGGATTTTAAACAAGAATTTATTCATTAAAATATCTTTGTAGACTGTGTAGTTATTTTCTTTTTTCTTCTCTTTGTTGTTTATTTGTATCTTTAATCATATGCAGAAATGTTATATGTGTATATAGTAATATATAGTAATAAGTATATGCTATATATCTTTGTATCGTAATATTTTACCTTAAATTCTATTTTCATTAATATTAATATTATAATTAATATTACCACAATATTTTATTTCATGTAAGCCAACTTTTTAAAAGCTTTTAGAATCTTTTCTTTTGTAAGTATATGTCTTACAGATAATATATTAGCGGGATTTTTTTTTTAATTCAAGAGCCTGACAGTCTGTGTCCTTATTTTGTAAGTTTAACCCACTTACATTTATATTAGAACATATTTCTGCCTTCTTATTTCATTGTTTTTCCATTTAGTGTGATTTTTTTTTTAAAGTTGATTTTCTACTTTCCTTTGGATAGAGTGTCATTTTGCTGGTTTGAAGGGTCAACATTCTCCGATTGCAACCTTGAACTTGTGACTATCTCTACATTTTGCCTCTCCTGAGACAAGTAGGTAACGTCCTCCCGGGACCTCCTGGTCTCTCTGCCTCACCCCATGTCAACCTTGTCGGGAATGGTATTTTTAGTTGTCACGGATGTAGTTTCCCTTCCTCTTTATTTTGGTTCTCGTTGCCTTCTTTAAGGGCGAGAAAGGAGGCAGGGAGGGAAGGAAGGAACTTTACCAATGTGCTTGGTCACACTTCGTCACCTCTTGTGGCATCTCTGGATTTGGGTTCTTGTCTAAATTTTAGAGTACTTCCTCCGAGAGCGTTTTCAGTGGGGATCTTTGTGTGTGGCAAACCTTCACAGATGGTGGAAGTCCCGAAGTTTCTGACTTCACACTGGAATGACGGTTTGGCTGGATGCAAAATCCTAAATCCAATGTTCTTTCTTCGATATTTAAAAAACATTACTCAATGGTCTTCTTACATCCAGTTTTCCTCTTAGGAAGTCTGATGTGAATCTAATGCTTGTTCCTTTGTTGGTGATCTGAATGCCTTCAGAATTTTCTGGTTTTGATGCTCTCCCATTTCACATAATGCATCTAGAGGTGTGTGCGTCTGTCTGTGGGCATGTCTCCTCCTTTCAATCTCAGATCTCTCCTTTTTCTATGATTCTGAGAAATTTATATTCATTCTTTCTTCAAATATTTCTCCCTTTCCATCTTGTCTTACTCACAGATCTACTTTTTATTGTGTTACTCTTAGACACTACTCACAGTGCTTAATGCCTACATGTTAGTACGTCTATTTTTCTCCTTCATGTCTCTTAACTTCTCTTTGATTATTTTTTTCAAATCTTCCCATCCTTTCCAAAAACTTTCTGTGAAAATTCCTCAACTTTTCTCCAACTCCAACTCAACCCCAACTCCAACTCACTCTCCAGAATAGTATTGCCATTTAGCTTTTTTTGATGGTTTTTGTTCTTGATTTGCAGTTTATGTCTTCTCCTACCCCTTGAGGTGGACTGATCATATTTACTGAGAGTCGTTGTATTGTTGGTTCCTGCGGTTGTGCTTTGGATGGGTTTTATTTGTGTTCACCCTCTTGTAAAGTAGTAGTTCTTCTCAACTGACAAATTATTTTGGCTTGTGAATTAAGATTCTTTGGGGGTTCTCAGATATTCAGCCTGGCAGAGAACTGAAAGCTAAATCCTTTAGCCTGGTGAGTTTCAAAAGTGCTAAGCCCCAGAACACAGGGCCTCGGGCACCCGTTTGCTGCTATTCTTGCCCTCTGGTTAGGGTTTCACCTTTGAACTCGCTAAGCGATGCATCTTAATTCATTATCCTTCTGTCTTGGAGTTCCGAGGAGGAGGAGAGGGCTAGGGAGTCAGTGTTTACAGGTGATTGATTATCTATTTCCATCAATCTCTTATGCTTTTGCTGTGCCTCAAGGTCCACCAGGGCACCTGAGGGCTGTGACAGCCTATATCTCAGTGAAGGGACGCCCATGGTAGCCTCAATAACCCTGAGGGCAAGGGTCAAGAGCAGAGTTTTAAAATGATCTTTTCACCTTTTGCTAGCTGATATGTCCAGCCACCACTGCCCCCCAGGATGTAGCCACTGTCCGTATCCACCATCGACACATACCAACACAGCCTCCAGTTCCCGCTTTGAGGGGGTTCATTTTATCTCGTTCCAGAAATCCATGTTTAACTGTCATTTCTGCAGTTTCCCCAAAGTTAATGACCTGCCGCCTTCTCTCCATTCCTCTCTACCAACTGTGCATCTGGGTCTTGGGAACTCCTCTGCAGGAGGAGAATTCTTGGGTCTCCTCTCCCTGGTTCCAAAGACACAAGAGCTCTCTCCCTGGTCATCTTTTCCCAGGACTTTCCCTCCCAGGGAGACCCCAGACTTACCCCTGCTCAGAGCCATTGACGGAAGGGCTGGAGGTTCCCTCCGGAGAAGTGATCAGAGCTAAGGAGGACACAAAGAAGATGGTGTCTTCTCAGAGGACCAGAATTGTGGGTGAGGTTAGATCCTAAGAACCGTAAGAGGAAGTAGAGAAGGGACAGAACCAGCTTCTCAGGGTCCCTCAGGGCAGGAGTAACTGGGCCTGAGGTCTTTTTTTTTTTTAATTGACATTTAAAAACATACAAATTTATGGAGTGCCTCGTGATGTTTCAATACATGTGTACAGTGTATGATGTTCAAAATCAAAGTCTACTCCTCAGATGCTTATCATTTCTTTATAGTGAAAACATTCAAAATCCTTTCTTCTAACTTTGTTTTAAAACAGTGCATTGTCATTGTCTACTGTCACCCTATTGTGTAATAGAACACCAAAACTTCGTTCTCCTAACTATAACTTAATATCCATTAGTCAGAGTTCTCCAACCCTCCTTCCCCCATAGTCTCTCCAGCCTCTGGGAACCACCTCTCTCTCAACTTCCATCAGATGAACTTTTTAATAATCCACATATGAATGAGATCATATATAGTACTTGTCTCCCTCTGCCTGGATTATTTCACTTAAAATAATAGCCTTCAGTTACATCCACATTGCAAATGACAGGATTTCGTCCTTTTCATGGCCAAATAGTATTTCATTATGTATATGTACTACGTTGTCTTTATCCAATCATCAATTAATAGACCTTTAGTTTGTTTCCATTTCTTAGCTATTTTGAATAGTGCTGAAGTAAACATGGGAGTTCAGATGTTTCTTTGAAAGACTGATTTCATTTCCTTTGCATATATAGCAAGTAGTGGGATTGCTGGACTGTATGGAAGTTCTATTTTTTAATTTATTTTTTAGTTTTAGGTGGATACAATATCTTTATTTTATTTTTATGTGGTGCTGATTGTTGAACCCAGTGCCTCCCAGGTGCTAGGCAAGCACTCTACCACTTGAATTTCCCCAGCCCGGAAGTTCTATTTTTTTAATTTTTAAAGGAAGCTTCATACTATTTTCTACAACAGCTGTACTAATTTACACCCCCCCCCAGTGCTGTGCAGGGGGTCCCTTTTCTCCACATCCTCAGTAGCACTTGTTTTGATAACAGTCATTCTTACTGGAGAGAGAGGTGATATCTCATTACAATTTTAATTTGCATTATCCTAATGATCACAATGCTGAGTATTTTTTTCTTTTTTTTTTTTTTTTGGCCATTTATGTCTTCCTTGAGGGGGGAAAAATGTCTATGTGAACAGATCCTAAAATCTTTAAAACCACTGAAGTCAAATCCAAAGGGGAAGAATCTCTCCACAGGCTAGTGGGAAGTGAGGGGCGGGGCTGGGACACACAGGTGCAGGTCTCCAGTGCAGGACTCCCTCCGGGGGCACCCATCCGTCGTGGAAGAACACGGCTATTTTCATGAGTGGATCAGCTAGTGCGCGTTGATATCCCTGTGTCTTAATCCCTGAATCCACCAACCCAGACCACCCGGAGGGTGCAGCACCTGCCTGGTCCCTCCTTCCCTGAATTTGAGGCTCTCTAAGTTGCCTGGTCATCCCTCTTCCTTCCCCTGGCTGAGACCCCACACCTACCTGTCATTGTTGGGAGCCAGGTTATAGTCCCCACAGAGGAGACTGAGGCTATAAAGAAAAGGTAGAGGTCAGCGTGGGAGCCCAGAAGGGAAATGAGTTCTGGCCCCAAGCGGTTGAGGGGAACGAGGGGCCCAGAGATGGTTCTTTGGGACCCCTTAGGCCAGCAGTGACCTGCACTCAGGTCTGCACACCCCAGCTGTTGATGTGCCTGTGTAAGAGAGTCGGAAAGACACCCCAGGCTCCTGTCGCTCAAGCCCTGGACGTGCCTTCCCCCAGCTGGGTCCAGGACTGGCAGGGAGACCAGAGATGCAAACCCAGCTCTGGGGACAGGACTCCTTGCTCCCCCAGAGCAGAGCAGAAGGCCTGTCAGGAATGGGGGTGACAGAGGCATGGGACAGGGATTAGAAATCTTCCCCCCAGGTCCCTGGAGGAGGAGGCATTTCCTCAAGAAAAGTGCTCACCTGGAGACAGCACCAGGGTGATGTTTCTGAAGGTGTTGATCAGGTTCTGGGACGAGTTGAAGCTTCCACACAAGTAGACGCCCAAGTCTTCCTCCCTCAACTGAGTCATGGTGACGATGAAGAAGCCAGCCTTGGGGTGGTCCCAGATTGTGTGTTGAGCATTCTCAACGGCTGTCAGAGGCTGGGAGGTGGTGACCAGCCTGGTGCACCTGCCAGGAGACCTCTGCCGACACCAGGTCTTCTGCACGTAGGGCCCTTCCTGGGGCGAGGACCAGCACTGCACCAACAGGGTCCCTCCCACCACTTCACGAAGCTCCTCAGGTGTGACCGTCAGTCCCCAGGAGCCTAGAGGAGGAGCCCTTCGTCAGATCCCTGGCCAGACCCCACCACTCACACCGCAGCCCGGGAAAGGGGAGAGGAAAGGACTTCTGCACTCAGAGCATGTCCCCAGAGCCAGTCCTGTGGTCACAGAGCCAGCCTGCTCCGGGCCCCACCCTTGTCCTTCCTCCACTCAGCTCTGTGCTCACCACCTCCCACCTCACCTGGGACCAGCAGCACCAGGGCCACAGGGTGCATGAGCAGGCGCAGGCCTTCCCACGCCATGCCACCCACCCTGTCCCTGTTGGTGGAGGAGAAGAGAATCGGGAGGCCTCTGCGGAGAGGGAGTCAGAAGTTAAAGCTGACCCTGCTCAGCCTTTCTGGGCTGGACACACTGAAAGGTCAGTGCCTTGATTGGGGAAGTTATTGGCCTGGGAAGGCGGGTTCTGTGGGCACAGGGGCCTAGCCTGGATTGGGGGCCACCAACGGCAGAGTCTGTCTCTGGGCCTCCATACCTCAGTCCTGCCCCTGAGGATACGCCCTCTTGTGACCCAACTTCTTGTGCCTGCCGGCTCCACACCCTCCACTCCCTCTCGCCCCTGCGCTCTGGCTGGAAGGAGGTCTGAGAAGGCTGAGAAAACCGTGAATTAAGAGGCACTTCCTCTTGTCTCTCTCTCTCTCTGTGCTCCCTATAACTGGTCAGGGCCCTTGGAGCCATGCCCATAGTCCTGGTCATGTCCCCAGAGCAATGCGGTGACCTCATCCCAGGCACAGTGGGGTAATGGTGTGTTTTCACAGTAAGTTTTGGGGGGTACAGACTTCCATTCCAGGAGGTGTAAGTATGGTCCCCGGGAAGTGGGGAGGCAGGGAGCTAGGAGGAAAGGGACACCGAGAAAGGATCATCAGACAAGGGCCTGTGTCCCTTGCAGGAAGAGAGCAGGCAGGAGGCTCAGGACCATCTCAATCAGTGTTGGTCCGGTAAATACCTGAGTGGCCAGGAGGCTGAGGCAGGAGGATGGCAAATTCAAAGCCAGCCTCAGCAACTTAGTGAAGCCCTAAGCAACTCAGTGAGACCCTGTCTCTAAATAAAATATATAAAAGGGCTGGGAAAGTCGCCCAGTGGTTAAGGGCCCCTGGGTTCATTCCCCAGTACCAAAATAAATAAATAAATGCATGAAGGAAAAAATGAGGCCCAACTTGGAACTATGGAGCAAAAGGAGGAAGTAATATTGGATTATAGACCAGAGTGTAAAGTGGATGACCCTGCGTCCATGCGGGTGTTACCAAGAGCTCCACCATGGTCTGAATGTAGTTCCCCCCAAATTCATGTGGAATGCTGATCCCGAATGGATTAGCTGCTCTTGGTGAAGGGTCCTCAGGGCCCCTCTCCAGCCTCTTCCCTCTTGCTGTGGAGGCTGATCTTAGAGCAGGGCAGTGATCTTACAGCTCAGCTGGATCTTTGAACCTCGTCTTTGAACCCACATCCAGCATTTTGCCCTCTACCAAGCAGCCCCCTTCCACCCCAAATATGGTACCTCAAAATATGCCCTTTTGACATAGGGGATTCCTGGTAACTGAAGGCAATTAAAAATCTACAGCTGCAGGAATTGTTCTCGGCCCTCCCTTTAGCTGCCTAGGAGCAGGGCATCAAATCCCCTTTGTCAAGGTGTCCCCTTGTTTTGGAGGAAAGATTTATCTTAGCTCTTGGTTTCAGAGGTTCAAGGTCGATGGCGCCATCGCTTTGGCTCTGAAGCCCGGCAGAGCATCATGGAGGAAGGGCATGGGGGAGGGGGAGCTGATCGGCTCATGGCCTCTGGGAAGCAGAGTGAGAGGAGGGGCCCAGGGGCACACCTCCAAGGACACACTTCCTCTTAGGGCCCACCTCCTACAGCTCCCAATTAATGCCCTCAAATTATTAATCTACCGAGGAAGGAAATCAGAGCCCCCATGATCCAATCACTTCCCCCAACCCCACCTCTGAACATGGCTGCATTGGGACCAAGCCTTCAGCAGGTGAACCTATGGGGAACAATCCAGATCCTCATAACACCCCCCCTTACCAGAAAGAGAGGACACTCACCCCTGGAGAGAGCATTGACCCAGATAAGTTTGCATAAAGAGAACTTAACACAATAGCTCTTCCCCTTGCATGTCTTTCCCAATCACTTCCAAAGACTCAAAGCCCAAACCCCCTTCCACTGTTAAGATAGCATGTAAGCCGGTACGGTGGCTCACTCCTGTAGTCCCAGGCTAAGGCAGGAGGATTACAAATTTGAGGCCAGCCTCAGCAATTTAATATAACAAATAAATAAATAAAAAGGACTGGGGATGTAGATCCATGCCAAAGTCCTCTGGGTTCGATCCCCAGTATCAAAAAAAAAAAAAAAAAAAATCATATATAAGCTCCTGAGTCTAACCGCTTTTTTTTTTTTGAGTTCTACTTCTTTCCTGTGAACTCCCATGCACATAAAATATGAATAAAATTGTTATCCTTTTTTCCTGTTGATTTGTCTGTTGCTACTTTAATTCACAGACCCTCAGACACCAACCTAAGAGGTAGAGAAACTTTCTCCACCCTGATGCTCCCCATCATTCATCCAAATGGACTGCATCAGGCTCAGGGATAAAGCAGGAGAGAGTCAGGGAAAGAGAAAAAAGAACTTGAGACACACACACAAAAAAAAAAAAAAAAAAAAAAAAAGCCCTTTCTTTTGAGAAACAAAACTTAAAAATAAAAAAAAAATGTGTTTTTCCCTTTAAGAGGAAAATCTGCTTTAATTACGTGGAAACTATAATATAAGCAAAGTATGAACGTGTATAAATTTATAATATAAACTCGGGTGCGAAAGTAAGTTGTATAATGAAAGTTTTAATCATTTACAAGCTAAATTTACAAGGAACTGAAAGCGTTGCTAGCTGACCAGTTACGTTGAGCAGAAGTCTATAAAATCAGCGGGTGACATTGCTTCCAGAGGTGACAGGACTGTCCTCTAGCTCCCTGTCCAAGCAGCAGCCACAGGCAGTGTCAGGGCTGACATGGGGTGAGGGTGAACACAGAGCTGGATTTTGATCTTCCGTTGATTTTCATGAAATGCAAAAGCCCTGTGGTCAGTGGCTATCACTTTGAACAGCACTGGGCCAGGTGACAGAGATGACTCAGACCACGCCCTGCCCACCCCATCCCACCCGCTATAAGGACCCACCTCTTTGCTGTGTGGTGTTTGTGAATGTCAAAACTGTGAAGTTATTGGAAGGTGTGTGAGAATATCTTCAGACATTGTCTAAAAGACAGAATCCAAATACCATTGTGCTTCAGATGGGGGAAGAACACCTTCAATAAGATCCCAACAATATCAATCAAAAAGGGAAAATGAATGGATTTAATTACATTGTCGAATGCAGGCTTTCCAGAGAACGTAGCCCCAGCAGAGCTGTCACGGAGGTGACACTTAAGGGTGTCCCAGAGGGAGACTGCATGGCCAGGAGTTATTGAGGAGTCTGGTTTGAGGCAGGCCCTTCAAAGGCGGGACTGGATTCAGACTGGGTAAGGATCGTGATCCCACCGTCCTATCCAAGGGTGCAGTACCAGATTTTGAAGCAAGAGATTTAAAGAATCTTGGGCGGCCAACTCTCTCTGGGTGGGTCTTCCGGGAGCTTCCCGTAATGGACAATCAAACCATTTCCCTGGATAAGAAAACTCCCAGAGAAAAAAGTGATCCGAATAGCAAAGCTGTGTTACAGACGGCAAGGGGGTGGCTTGGGTACTCAGAGTCCAGACAGAACGTGGGCACAGATGGCTTCAATTTGAAAAACAAAAATGTGTTTTTCCAACATAGTCATTGTGGATGAACAGTCAGGGGAATGATTCCACAAGGACACCCTGATGACCCTGCCTGGGAACACATGGGCCACACCAGGCAAGGCCTGAACAGCAGCTTCTCTGAGGCATGGCAGGTGGCCCTGTGCTCCTCCTGGAACATAAGAGACCTGGAGGCCTGGGAGGCCATCTCCCAGTCACCTCCTGTCTCCCCTGAAGTCAGTTGTCACCTCCTGGTTCTAAAGAGCAGGAGGCTTTTCCTGTCCCTCAGAAGAGAGCTGCAGGGGTAAGACCCCACAGCACAGCAGTAGGGTCTTCTGTGGTTTGGGGGATGGGACCAGGACCACGAGTAGCTGGCAGCGGCGGCTAATCTTCCTTTCATGGTCTATGTAAGTCATAAACTGAATCTGACTGTGGCTCATGGTACCTTCACTGACCAAATCAGTCCAGCCGTGGCCACAGCCTTATCTGCTCTTGGGTGTACTTAAAAGTAACAGGCTGAAAGAACAGGTTGGCAGTCTCAGACCTGACCCTGAAACTGAACCAGGGGTTATTACAAAAACAAAAACAGAACAGCCAAAGAAAGGAAATCCAATTTAAATGGTCAAAAATAGATGATACGCTTCTGGAAACATCCAAATGCTTACAAAGCCCCATCTCATTAATTATGAGACAAATGCTCGTTTTAAGGCCTGGAGAAGTCACTTTGAACATATTGGCTCAGCAGAACTAGCAGGTTGGACAACACTCACTATGGCCAGAGCATACGCAGGGGAATCCTGGAGCCCTGCTACAGGAATGTAACGAGCCTGGCTTCTGCAGAACAATCTGGAATTTCTGTGTGGAATAAGCATGTGGAAATCCCACACCCGGGTCTCACTCCCAGAAATCTGCCATGGTTACTGTGTTTTGTGTCCAGTTAATGATACATTTGCTGCCTCGGATGAGCTGCTGTTCAGGTCCTGGCTGGCGTGGCCCATGTGTTCTAAGATCATGTTTTGTATATTTTCTTCCTAAAAGCCATATTGATTTCGCCTTTTATCTTGGAGTCTGATTTGAATCAAGAGGGGAGAAAGCCTTTTTTCTTCCCCCTTGTGGATATCCAGTCGACCAGTCAGTCTTCAATTTGAGGTCAGCACCATCTTTCCCACTAAATCAAAGAGACACCTGGGTGGCAGTCGAGTGGCCATACAGCTGTGGGTATTTCCCTGAACCCTCTATTCTGTTCCCTTGGTCTGTCTTGCTTTATGCCAACTGGGCATGTATTCTAGAAAAATTCTCATGTGGGCCCTTCAGCAATGTATTGTGTTGGGTGGGGGGGGAGTAAATATTTTTAGTTTTTGATGGACATATACTTTTTATTTATTTTTCTGTGGTGCTGAGGATCGAACCCAGTGCCTCACACATGCTAGAAGAGCGCTGTACCACTGAGTCAAAACCCCAGCCCAAATATATTTTAAAGTTTTGTTTTTCACTTTTCTGTTCTTTTGTGTATGTGAGAGATGGGTGTCTGACAGTAAGGAGTTGAGACAACTTAGGTGCCATCACTAGGGGAAATGAAAAAGTAAAATCTGATGTTTACATTATATGGAATCCTACATAGTAGAAAAATATTTTTTGAAGCTTTATTTTTTCCATTTACTTTCTAAAACAATTTTATCAATGCATTATAATTATACATAACAGTGGAATTCATTATAACATATTTACACATGCACATAACATAATTTGTTCAATTTCATTCCCCAGTATCTTCTCTTTCCCTCCCCTCCAACCGCCTTGGGGTCCTGGGTCCCCTTCCTTTATTTTACTGGTCTCCCTTTTATTTTAAAAGGTTTTTTGTGTTATTGTTTTTTGGGGGATGGTATTTTGGTACTGGGGATTGAACTCAGGGGCACTTAACCACTGAGCCACACACTTAGCCTTTTTTATATTTCATTGAGACAGAGTCTTGATAAGTTGCTCAGTGCTTGCAAAGTTGCTGAGGCTGGCTTGGAACTCACGATCCTCCTGCCTTAGCCTCCCAAGCCATTGGAATTATAGGCATGCACCATCATGCCCAGCTTAAAGATTAAAATTTATATATGGCAACAAGGATAGTATCAGAAGCATAACAAAATATTGGATAAAAATGTATAAATATAGTAAATTTATAAATATAATTTACTGTCAAAAACATTAAATCATGACTTTCACACAAATAAAAATAAAGACAGATTAAGATCTTTATCTGGGGGTGTAGTTCAGTGGCAGAGTGTGTGCTTGATGTGAACAAGGCCCTGGATCCTCAGCACCAAAAAAAAAAAAAAAAGTTTTTTATTTAACTCACTCAGTAACTCATATGCCAGCAGATGCAATAACTTGTTTTTTTAAAAAAGAAGTCAAGCCAGACACCATGGCACATATGCATCTCAGGAGACTAAGGCAGGAGGATCGTGAGTTCAAGGCCAGCCTCAGCAATTTAGCATGACCCTAAGTAACTCAGCAAGACCTTGTCTCTAAAAAGGGCTGGGAATATGGTTCAGTGTAAGAAAATATTTGTAAGAAAATATACAAAACATGATAAAGTGCCCCTGAGTTCAATCTCTGGTACAATAAATAAATAAATAAAGTCAAAGTACAATTTATGTGATATAAAGAAATGTTGGAATGCATTGCACATGGAGACAAACTAGTCTTGATTTTATTTTTTCCCCCACAGCTGGGAAAGACAGCATAGAAATTTGAGAACAAAAATTTTATTAGTGCATTTCAATTACACAGAAGAATGGGTTCATTGTGGAACATTCATACATGCAGTGAACATACTTTGATCTATCCACCCCCTAACCTTCCCCTCTCCTCCTCTCCCCCTGGGTCCCTTTCTCCTCTAACAGTCTCCCTACTGCTCTCCTGTCTGTTGTCTTTTCCTCCTAGATTCCACTTGACCATCAACTGCTATTGACAGAGTCACAAAGCCACTCTCATGGTGACAGATGACACAAGGATGGTGTGCAAGATGGGTATGCAGGACAGCTTTTCTTTTGATTTGCAGTTTTTTTAATACAGTTGAGTGAAATTTGTCTGAAAATAAAGCCACAAAATTAATTCTATAAATGTTCAAGGATCTACATAAGTGTAAGTAAGTCTAGGAAAGTGGATTGAAAAGATGTACAGAATAAAGATGCCAAGGAGGGAGGAACGGGCAGAGTGGAGCCAGAGGGTGAAGGTGGGAAATATTTAAAAACACATTAAACTGAACAAGTGCAAATAATTTCCACAGGTAAATGAAGGCCCTGAAATAAGGAGTATGCTGACTCCGTTTTGGGAGCTTGAAGGTCATGAAAAAAGACAAAAACCGCTAAAGCCGAAACAGCACTTTGTGTGCACCTCTAGTCCCAGCTACTCGGGAGGCTGAGGCAGGAGGATAGCTTGAGCCCAGGAGTTTGGAGTCGGCTGGCAAAATGTGGCAAGACCTCATCTCAAAAAAAAAAAAAAAAAAATCTAAAACAGAGCACATTCACCTGCACTAAAATTAACCTTCCCATGGGGCTGGGGCTATAGCTCAGTGGTAGAGCGCCTGCCTTGCCTACCTTGCATGTGTGAGGCACTGGGTTCGATCCTCAGCACCACAGAAAAACAAATTAAAAAGGGGTATTGTGTCCAACTACAACTAAAAAAATTAAATAGATACTATTTTAAAAAAAAAAAGAAAAGAAAGAAATTTACCTTCCCATCTTCCTGCAGGTAGGTGTTCCTTTATTATGTGACTGAGAGGGCAGAGGGCCAGCCTGGGAAAGGAACTGGGTTCTCCCCAAGTGCACAGCACGTAGGAGAAGAGGAGATTCCACACTTGCCAGCAAACCCTGAGTCAAGTGCCAAACATCTGGCTCTGTTCCCAGCAAATTTCAGTAGAAGGAATGGTTGGGCTGAGGGAGCCTGGACAGGAGACAGACCAGGACACTTGACAGATGGACAGTCCTAAGCCAGCAAGGGGCTTTAGGTCAAGGCGATAGATGAGATGATCGCTTCCCTTCAAGCCCCAAAGAGGACTCCAGTCCTTGAAGACTGGCCTCTATCCTAAAAGACCTGCCCTTGGCTCCAAAAGCAATCATTTCCAGTTTTACAAGTTTTCAAAAACTTTGGGGATGCTAAAATGGAAAAATTTTCACTGACGTGACCGCCTTGGAAGCTGAATTTTGCCACGTCACTGACTGATTAGCGATCATGTAGGTGCCCCAGGAATAGATTAAAGAAGACTGGTGATAAACAGAAGTCATTTTCTCAGACACCACGAAGTTTCCAAGAAAAGTGTCATAAATCCTGGAACAGGAAAAGTAGGAATTCGTCCTCTGCATCTGTCTCTTTTTATGCCTCCAGGGTTATATATCACATTGTGCCCAATGTGCTATTTTGGGTAACTGGGACCTTGCTATTATGACTTTTATAAATGAACAATAGTGTTTATTTGGCATAATAAGACTGAGAGTGGATGTTTATTTTCCATTTAATTATATTTGTCTTTCATTGACCATACAAGAAACAATAAAACTCTGAAGTTTGAACTATCTTTTTGTCCATTTCAACTGTGATCGTTTTGGGTGCTTGCTGTGGACTTGACTTTCATTCTCACCCCCTCTCATGGGCTTTTCTTCAGCCAACAGTCTGCAAAATCATTTCTCACACTCACTGGCAGCTGGGCTTCCAGATATTTTGGACTCCACCCACCAAACACATTCACACGAGACTAAAGTTTGGGGCCAAGTTAACTGGGAAGGAAGGCACACATTTTGCCAGCAAACCCTGAGTCAAGTCTGCACTGTTTCTACAGCCAGTGCTGTGCCAGCAGGTTCCTGTTGGGGGAAATTTCCAGATTCCTCTAATGCCAGGCTGGTAGCCCCTTAATAGTCCCATGCTGTAGTGCGGCTGTGGGAGTCATTCCCAGATCTGATGGTTGGATCTGATGCTGTAAACCATTTAATACTCTATTTTTTAAAATCCCCTTCTAGGAGCTGGGATTATGGCTCAGTGGTAGAGCGCTCACCTAGCACCGGCGAGGCCTTGGGTTCAATGTTCAACACCATATAAAAATAAATGAATAAATAAATATAAAGATATTGTGTCCAACTACAACTAAAAAAAAAACATGTATTAAAAAAAATCCTCTTCTAATTGTGAGTTCAAAGCCAGCCTCTGCAACTTAGAGAGGCCCTCAACAATTTAGGGAGACTCTGTCTCTGAATAAAATATTAAAAAGGACTGGGGATGTGGCTCAGTAATTAAGCACCTCTGGGTTCAATTCCCAGTACCAAAATAAATAAGTAAAAATCCCCTTCTACTTAAAATAAGTAGACTGTATTTTGTTGTCTTCAAGTGAACATTAACTCATGCAAGCCCTAAGAAAATAGATGCTGTGTTCCAGATCAGTGGGGACTGGTGGGCAGCAAAGCAGGGAGGGAGCAAAACTCTTTTTCTGTTGCTGTTGCTTTAACCCTTATTACCCTCAAGGGCATGAAGTTGTGAAGAGGATTCAGGAGACAGCTGTTGGTCTGCTGTGATCCTTGGGGATGGGGGAGTGGACACATCCCTTACCTCAAGCCCAGGGAGACAAGCTTCAATGTCAGGACTTGGAGAGCTTGTCCAGTGTCCCCTGCAGTTTGGAAGAGGCAGCCACTATGTCTGACTCAACTCTAAAACTGACAGGCAGGGGCAGCAGGTGATGAGCTAGTCTGATGGTAGCTGTACGGGAGCCACCAGGGCCACGTGAGACTCGTGGGTGAGTGTTCCCCGAGGACTGGATGTCACTACACATCTGTGAGGCAATGGGCTCAGGTTGTTGCTATTAATCTTGCCCAAAGAGGCTGCCTGGTGCTGCAGATGTCCACAGAAGAAAATAAGAAGTGGACTGTAAAGGGCTTGGGGGCCAAAGGAGGAGCAGGAGCAGCTGGCCAGGAAAGAGACACATGTGCCTGTCTAGGACTCTACAGGTGAAAGAGCCCACAGCAGCGCCCTATGAAGGAACCCCAGCTCGAACCCCATGGGGCATAGGAAGACCTCCCCTCTCCTTCCTCCTCTCTCCCCTGCTCCAGCCTGGCTTCCCCACGCCTCAGCTGGCAGGTGGAGATGGCAAAGCAAAGGAAGCAAGCCAGCCTGTCCCTTCTGTCCCTTGAGGGGCTCAGATCCAAGGGTCTGGGAAGGAAGCTTCACTTTAAAATGGACTCCTCCTTCCCTGTGCTAATTACTGAAGCTTCTTTCAGAATAAACTTTTTTTTTTTTGGCTTAAAAATGACCAGAAGGGAAGGATGAATAGGTGGAGAATTTCAGGGACAGAGAAGCTCGTCCATGGGATATAATGGTGGGTACATGCCATTAAGGCACAGAGCCAAGGGAGAACCCAAATGAGGACCACGGACCTCGGCAGTCCATGTAGGTCCATTGGCCATAACAAATGCACTTCTCTGAGGGGGTCCTTGAGAGTGGGGAAAGTTGAGGGGGGACAGCATGGAAGCATATGGGAACTCTGCAATTTCTCCTCAATTTTGCTGTGAACCCAAAACTGCTCTGGAAATAAGTTTATTTAAAAAAAAAAAATACCAGCAGAGTGAGGGTCTTGGCGTAAGTTTCACCCAAGGTCCAGAAAGTCCCCAGCAGGACTTCTGGAGGGCTGTAGGGGGAGGGATGCAAGGTCCTTAGGGGAACTCTTCTCTGTGAGTCCCAGTTGCTCTATTCAAGGCCCAAGTGCCTTGCTGTCCCGTGGTCCCTGCTGATGTCTCTGCTAATAGCTCCTTCCACCTCTGGGAGGGACAGGTGCTGAGCAGAGAGCTCACAGCGGGACTTCAGGAAGCCTTCCATTTTCCCTTGAACTGTGCATGGAGTGTGCTGTCACTAGGGCAGGAAGGCGAATGGGTGGCCTCCGGAGAGGAGGTTTCCCTGGGGCCCATTGTGCTGAGGATACCTGAGCAGCAAGAGAGATGAACAGCATTTGGAAATGACCGTTCAAGCCAGCCCAGGCCTGAGTCCAGCCTCCCTGAGGAAAGGGGCTGCTTACCTCCTGTCAGTTCCTCCCATCCTGTGGGACCCGCTCAGCCCGCTTGGCATCGATCCCAGCATCTTGGCCCACGCCTGGCACTGTCCCAGGGGCTGGCCCTGCCCCCTGACCAAAGACCTTCTGAGAAGAGAAATCAGGGCACAGGGGCTGGGAACCCCACCCTTCCCAGCATCTGGAGCAGGTGTCTCGGTCCTGCCTTCATTTCACCTTAAGTCTGGCCACGTACCTGAGGCCTGGGCTTCCGGAGAAAGACAAACAGGACTGAGAACACCAGGCCCTTGTTCAAGATGATTCCACAGGTCACAAAAATCAGAGCAGGAACACCAGGCAGCTCCAGAAGTCCTGCAGGTCAAAGGCAAGCGTGACTCCCTCTACCTGACCCTCCTGAACACAAAGGGTGGGTGTCCGTTGAGTGGACAGCGCTGAAGGCCCCTGCGTCCCACCTCTTGGCTACGAGAGCCGCCAAGCAGGTTTTTATACCCTGTGCAGATGAGGTCTGCACCTTCCCCAGCCTCCACCCTGCTCTCACCCCCGCCCCCAGCCCCGCCCCCAGCCCACCTCCTGCACACAGCTGCCCTGTGCTGATCTCCCTTTCCACCAAGGAGCCCAAGGAGGCCCTTCGTGTTTCCAGTTACCTACAGCCCAAAGGGCATGACTGCCAGACGTTCAAGGCTCCCTGTGACCTGAATGTGTTGTCCTGCTTGACCTCACCCACTTGCTCCACTCCACTCAGTCCTCGGGCTTTGTAGAGGGCACATCTCCTGTGCGTCTCCACCCCCTGCTCCCTCTTCTCTCCAACATCAGACCCCACCTCCCTTCTGCCGTTTCTAACTCCTCTGTCACCTTTGAGGTTTCTGGCTCCACCCCACCCAGGGCTCTGAGGGTCTCTGCTCGTGGGGTGCTTAGAGCTGCTCTGTAAGGAAGGGCTTCTCTCACGCCTTCCTTAGCTCCAAGTCAGAGTCTTCCGATTGCTCAGACTGCACTAGCCAGGAGGCCACCCCTCCTAGGTGCAGCCCCTTGTCCACAGGGGTACCGAAGCCCAAAGCCCTTTGACCTGAGCTCCTCTGACTCCCCTCCTTCTGGGGCTGCTGGATGCCACCTTGATAGACTAGCACCCAAGGCTTGGGTGGGGCCTTGGGATAGAAATCTAAATGAAGGTCATTCTTCCTGCTTGTGTTCAGGACCCCCTGGCAGCCCTCTGGGTGGTCCAGCCTGACCCTCTGGAGTCCACAAGTGTGTGTGTGTGGGGGTGAGCCCAGGGCCCCAGCTAAGCTCAGGGTGTGCCTCTGCCCTGCTTCGGTCTCTGCAGTGATCCTCAGCACACACAACTTACAGCAAATCTGGACTCTCTGGGGGTTGGTTCTGTCTGGTGCGGACCATGCTCTGGAAGAGATCAAAGCTCTTCAGGGTCTTGACTGAGACCTGGCCCCTACTAGGTGGCCAGGCGATGATTGACAAAGATGGGGCAGCATACCCTGAGCTGTCCACCCAGCCTGGCTGACTTCCTCTGAGCTGGGGAGGGACCTCCAAGGTGTTTGGAACAGCTTTCTTCTCCTACAGGCTGAGCCACTGTTCCACGGAGCTACACTGGTTGGGGGAAAAGGTTCACAGAGTCCCAGAAGGCCAAAGGTAGGGGGGTTCAACACCACCAATCCACCCTCCCAAGGAACAGGGTGGACAGGGGGTGTCCACAGTCACATAGTGGAGAGCAACAGAGCCAGCCCCCAGGCCCGGGCCTCCCAACCCTGTGCCTGTGTATGTGTGTGACACCCTGCTGCTCTCAGCCTTCAGAGCCTCATCCAGGGCACCTGGCCAGTTCTTCAGCTCTCAGCCCCTCCCCCACTCAGCCCATCACAGTCCAGCCAACCCACACCCCACGCCCAGAACCTCCTCCTGGACTTACTTCCGGTTGGTGATGGATCTTGTCGATCAGGGAGGGCAGGGAGCTCTCTCCTCATGCCCTCTGCAGCCCACCTTTCTCTCCCCTCAAATCCCCACACCATATTCACTTCCCAAGTGGGGTTGGGGGGACAACATCCATCACCTCCCAACAGCCTCACATTACGTAGGTTTCTTTCCGAGCTCAGTCACTGCTGTGTCCTCCCCCACCTCACAAGCTGAAGAATAAATAGAGAAGCCATCTCCACTGTCCATGGAGGAGTGTCCTTTAGGCGGGCTCAACAGCATGCCAGAAAGAAACCCCCAACTATTTATTTAACCTAGCTGAACAAAAACCCAGTCCCTGACTCTCTTACGATCTCCAAACAACCTCAGCGATCACTACAGGTGTCCTTTGTGGAGGCTTCTATCTTTTTCCCACTGCAATTCCTCTAGGCAAGGACAATCTGTGCAAGATGTCATTTCCATCACCACATTAGCCTAAAGTTTCCTTAATTACTGGAGAGAAGGAATGCAAAGCTGCTATCAAAATGTTACTCCGTGTTATTTATGGTTTAAGGGAAATAATTATGTTTTGGTTTATCCTGTGTTAAGCTTGATACAGTTCTTATTGACTAGCATGGGCTCAGTCACTCTCAATCACTTCTCCAGTCTTAATATTAAGGTTTGAGTTAGCCAGGCACGATGGCTCTCACCATAATCCCAGCCACTCAGGAGATTGGGGCAGGAGAATTGCAAATTTGAGACAAGCCTGAGCAACTCAGTGAGACCCTGTCTCAAAATAAAATAATAGGGTTGGGGATGTAGCTCAGTGGCAGGGTGCTTGACTATTATGCACTAAGCCCTGGGTTTGACCCCCCAGAGCTGAAAAAAAAAAGTTAAAAGGACAGCAATCCACCCACTGGCACCTAGAGCCGCCAACTTTGCCAAGTGTGAATGTAGGGCCCTTGTGTCTCCTACCTCAATAAATACAGAGGAACCCAAACACTGGAGCCACTGAGTATCACAGTGAAGAAGCCCCACCAGTTTACTACAGCCTAGAAATAGTGCGGGACTTGCCCAAGCTCACTAGGTATATTCAAGTCAAAGAAGGATCCAGAACCTTCTGTCACCAGGCAATCTGCAATGGTCACACTTCCCTTGTAAAGACTGTAGTTTCAGTTCTTTGACAGTTTTCAAGGACTACGGCCGAAATAATAAAATATTCCTGAGTCTAGGGCAATGGAGCTGCTTAACTATGAGAACCCTTTGTTAACTATTGGGTCCACGGCATGCTCCAAGCTTTGAGGAATTGTTTGACTCTGTTCCTGAGGTTCTACCTGCAATGCCCTCCCTTTGCCTGCTAACTCTATTTACAGATCCTAAGACGTGTGACTTGGACCCAATCCTGTCCTGAGAGTCATATGTTCAGGCTGGCAGAAGAGCAAGACCCCATGGTGGTGGAGGCCACCCAAACCACAGCTCCAAAGGAGGTCACTTGAGAAGGTTGAGGCAAAAGCGTTGGACACCCCCTCCCATGCCATGTCCCCATGTGGGCTGACAGGCTTTTTAACAAAGGGGTGTCCTCGCCAACAAGAAGCAACTAAAGGGCGGTGAAAGGCCCTTCACTGTGCTCTCTACTACTTTTTAAGTCCATTGAGAAAAGGGACAGTGCCTTACTGTCAAACTGAGCCCATTTCACAGATTCTCCAGGGACAAGAAAATCCAGTGAGTCCTGTGGGGGCCCAGCTGCTCCACCTGTCTGCCAAAGGACCAGGTGAGTTACCCTCTGGAGTGTCCCCTCACACTGAGAGACAGCAGCTCTCCCAGACCAGCCTGGCACCTCGCAAGTCCCAGTTGCCAGTTTCCCACAGAGTCTGGTGGTGTTTTCGTTCACCTCGTCCAACTTCCTTGTTTCACAGGTGAGAAAACTGAGGCCCAGAGAGGAGTTGTGTTTCTGAGTCTCAAAGTCACAAAGCAAGAGAATGGAAGGCCCAGGTGCCCTGACTTCGGGTCTGGAATTTCCCCGTTACTCTCTGGGCAGCAAGCCTTCGTGGTGGATAGGGTCCCAGCCCACCCTCTGTGCCTGAGGAGACCCTCCCCCGGGAGTCCTGGGTCTCCCTGATGCTCACCACTGCACTGTACTAGCCGAATCCGATGGTGCAGGATGACTAGGTTCTGAGAAGTGAGGTGGATCACGCACTGGTACAGCCCCGCGTCCCCCCTCTGGAGCCCCGTCATGGTGACTTTGATGATGGCTTCAGTGGGATAATCCTCCAGCAGGTACCTCCCAGCCTGGGCCAGGTTTAGGTCTGCATTTCTAGTCTCCGTGATCACCAGAGTCTCCAGGTGGCCGTCGCTCCTCACCCGCTGCCAGGCCTTCAGGCTGAAGGCGTACTTGTTGATGTTGTAAGGACAGGTCACGGTCAGGTTCCTGCCCTCCTGTAGGCACTTCTGCTCCTCACTTTCACCTTCAGCTTGGAGCCCTAGAGGGAGGAGTCCCGCACTTTACTGGTGTCCCCAAGAAGCCGAGTCCTCCACCCTCTCCACTTGTCTCCATTCCATTGATCCAGAGGGGAGCCCACCAGAACAGTCCCTGCTGACACTCTCCTCTTTCCCTTCTTGGCCCTCAATACCACGCATCACCCCAAACCTGGTGATACCATCGTCGTCATCCATAGCTTTTATTACGCACTTACTATGCCCTAAACTCTGAGCCAAGAGCTTCCCACCCATCTGTTATTTGTTTGATTCTTAGGGCAACTTTCTTTTTTTTTTAGTTTTCGGTGGACCCAACATCTTTGTTTGTATGTGGTGCTGAGGATCGAACCCGGGCCGCAACCATGCCAGGCGAGCGCGCTACCGCTTTAGCCACATCCCCAGCCCCGCAACTTTCTGATGTACTCGCCATCCACAAAATGAGCACCTGTATCTGGGCACTATTTACAAATGAAGGAACTGAGGCTCGGGGAGGTTAGGGGAACTGCCTGAGGTCAGAAAGTGGTAGAGATGGGATTTGATCGCAGCTCGGACTCCACCTTCCTTCTCAGAGCCTTGCTAGAGTGATTTCCATTTCCGTTTTGTGTCCCTCTTGCTACTCTGCCCTTGGTGCTTATTTACCTTTTCCTCTCTGCATGCTTCCTCTGCCTCCTGACTGAACATGTTCCTCCAAAGGGAGATTGGCTTTGCATTTCTATGCATCTCCCGGGATGCCAGCGTGGTGCTGGGAGATGGCTTGGCTGCTCCACATCACATCCTCAACTTCAAGATGCCCCAGAAGAACCTCCAACCTGTCTTATGGCACAGTCCCTGCCGGACCAGCGTGCTCTGCGTCTGTTGCCTTCCTTTCCCCTGACCTATCTCTAGCACAGGCCCTGATCTCATTCCAGTCCATTCTAAAGAAATGAGAGAAAGTTCCTCTTAGCCGCTGCATTCCTCCAGATGGTCTCCGCCCCTAGCCCCGAGCTGCTCCTCCCACCCCTCACCCCCCTGCCCTTACCTGAGACACAGAGCAGCAGCAGCAGCAGCCCCAGCGGTGGCCACCTCTGCTGGCCTGCCCCCTGCATCCTGTCCTTCTCCCTGAGTCTTCTGTCTGCCAGGGCCTCTCTAGCAGCAGGAGGACCTTGCCCCATGGGGGGTGTCTACGGTTGTCCCCCAGAGGTGCTGCTGTTTCTTCAGATTGAGAAACCCTGAGGGAAATGTAACAAGGGAACAGCCCAGGAAAAAGCAGAAGGTGAAGAGACAGCGTCCTTCCTACCTCTATTATGTCACAGTTGTATTGCGAAACTCTCAGCGGCTCCCCGTTCTCCACCACAGCAAGTCTAGCCCCGTCCGTGTGGGGTCCCCCCTCTGCTCCACTCTGTGCCTCTAGTCACCAAAACACTGCTATCAACTGGCCACCGCCCACCACATCCCGCCAACCCGCACACCACAGTCCCCATCTGAAATGACACTGGGCATCCAAACTGTGCCCACCCTCTAAGGCCTGGGTTGAGCTTTCAGATGACAACCCCTTCGCCAGACTTACTCCACACCGTGGTTCTCAGATATGGGAGGTGGCTGAATCACTCCAGAAGCCTGGCGGTACACACACACATGCCAGGACTCTGAGCTGGCAGGCCTGCAGAGACACCCAGGAGTCTGCATGGTAGCAAGCAGCCTTAGTGACTCTGAGGCAGGTGTCCAAATAGACCATGCCTGCAAAAGCCCCGTTTGCAGTCAGATGCACCTTGAGGCCTGCTCTGAGCTCTCCCTGTGTAGGATGTAGACTTCCCCAAGCAACCCAGTCAGGGCATAGACACGGACACCACAGCTATAATAATGACAGGTGAATGACCATGAGGAGGCCCTGGGCATTTATTCCAGTTCTCTCACTTAATCCAGTCAGTGCTGCAAGAGTATGCAATGGATGTTTGTCATCTTTTGACTCTCTGGCACCAAATACTTTACTGGAAAGGTGAATGTGGCCCAATGCATAAGTTTTCCTGAACTGTGGACCTCTGCTTCCCCTCCTGTTAAGTAGGAAGGCAAATATTCCTCCCACACTTCTTCCGGTCAGCTATGACATGCCCACAGGCACTGACCTAAGCTCAGCAAAATGCATGATTTCACCCAGGATTCTAGATCCTGAGAACTGGATTGATTCAAGATTCAGAGCCCGTGGGAGATGACTTACACGGAGGCAAGTTAAGCATTCGGAGTCCAGGAACAGCATATAGTAAGTGGCTGGTGACTTCATGTGTCCAGAGAAACATCACCAGATTATCTCCTGCTTAATCCCAGCTGTGGCCTCTGCTCTGCCTTCCCTCTTGGTATCTACCGATTTTCTAAACCTGGTTCTCCAGCCTCCTCATTGACCCTGTGAGCTCCCAGGTTCCCTCTGCAATCCCTCTGCTATCATGATAGCCCAAGTACAATGCTATTGTTGGTCTTGACAACCATCACTGACATTGGTTAGGTGGCCTTGTGTCCTTAGAGGCCATGAGGCATACTGAGGCCCAGAAAATGGAGTCACTCCAGATCAGACATACTGACTGCAAGAATGCAGAGCTGGGACTCAAACCCAGACACGGTATCGTTTTGTCAGCCAAATTTCCAGCAAGAAGCAGAAGGCTCGCCGAGACTAAAAAACTAAGGAGCATTTAATAAAGATACGGGCATTTGAGGAAGCCAGTTCGGGATGCTGCAGTAGCTGAATCTGGCGGCCATAGTGAGCTGTCACCACCTACAGATCTGCAGGGTGAGAGGATGGAGCAGTCACCTAAACTTGGAGCTAGTGGCCATCTGGTGAGGGGCTTGAGGGAACCTTCAGAGTGAATGCAAACACATATGCCATTCCCTGGCCTCATCTCTTCCCACCCTCTGCTGTCCTCTCCTGCTGCCCATTGGCTAAACCCAGCCAGAAGGTGGTGCCTGACAGAGCCTGTTGACATCACCCACATGGGCAGGTTCCCAGGTGTGCACTCGAGAGTGTCCAGCACGACAGCTTGTCTTCCAATGTAATGTAGTGCACAGAACTTTCCAGGCAAACATCATTTATTGGACTTAAATACAACTTAACCTGTAATTCAATGACTCACACAGCACACCAGGCCATGCAACTGGATGTCATGGTGTTTAACAGACAGCATTATGATTTCTTTGAAACAAACCTGAGAAGCATGAAGAGAACTGTATGCTATGATGCGACAGGTCCGCAGGAGCCCCGGAAGCTGAGCATGTGTCTTATGCTTCCAGATAATGCAATGCAGGTGTTTTAAGGGATGCCATTTGGGCAACACTGCTCCAGTGTGTCCTGCCTCTTCTGGACAGCATCTAATTACAGTGTCTCCCCCCACCCCGACCTGTTTTTTTTTTTTTTTTTTTTGGTCACCTTCATAAACTGGAGCAACATCGAAACTGCTAAAATGCAGGTCCCAGACCAGCCACCTCAGGATGCAAACGCTGTGTCACATAGTCGCTGCATCTGAGCTGCTCAGTTCAAGACAGGGAAGGAGATGAGATGCTCAACTTCTGGATAAGTCCTTCTCTCTTCTCTGCAGACTGGCCAGAGCTCCAGGACGAACTGAATTCCACTCACACCCCTTCAAATGGACTCAAAACTGGGGGATCAGAAATCATCTCTGAGGTCAGTGCCATCCCTGGGTAGGTTCAGACAGTGCAATATTCATTAGAAGGGGGTCCTCATGGGATGGAAGGATGCACCTGAGAACTAGGTATTTTTTCCCCCACAGGAGGAGGGGAAAGTCTTGGAGATTATAGGAATATATTTTTCTGGCGTGAGACAGATGCTACGTGGCAAGGTGTGTTTGCTCTTGGAGGCTTTAGGATGAAAATGACCTTGACCATTGCTGAATTGGAAGGACCCTTTTGCTTTAGAACCCAAAGATAGGAGATAGGAAGTCCTGGTATGAGGCTGGGGGACACACGTGGGTGGCCTGCATACCTATTTCATGGGGCACAGTAGGAGGGTCCCAGAAACAGCATGGGAGCCGTCAGGGGAGTTGGGTGCAGACCAAATGGAGGAGGATGGTGAGTGAGAGGTAAGGGGCCCACAGGGACAGCCTCCATAGCCTCAGTGGTGGGCTACTATCACCCTGCCATGACTGCCCCTCATGTGATTCAAGGACGAGAGGCAGAACTCCTTGCTCTCCACATGGCTATGGATCCCCTCAGCAAAAGAGTCTGGTTTTCCTTCCTGCCACTAGGTGTGACTCGCGTGGCCTCACCTTGGTCACATACACTTCCACCTTCATGGGTTAGCTTCAGGGTCCAGAGACAAAGCGCACCCGGCAAGGCGGGTTCCATCCACCCATCGTCCTACACGCCCATCTTGTCTCCTGTGCTTTCCCAGGACGAGCCGTCAGCGTCACTTTCTCATTCCCAGTTACTTAATTCCCACCGTGGCATCTTCTCTTCTCCTTGTTCCATGGGTAGGAATGTTGGGACAATCACGATGAAAAGAGAAACCAGGCATCTGATTCTCGAGAGAGGGAGGCTCGCTCCAGTGGCGGGGGAAGGAGGATGCTTCTAAGTTCTGTCCATGTGGCCTAAATTGTATAGTCCAGGGTAAGGACACGGGTCAGCAATTTCAGCTGTGCCCATTGAACCTCACAACCCCGCAGGAGAGGGCAGTGGAAAGCACTGGACTCTGTCTTGATTTCATGCCAAGCTGCGGATGGAATGGAGAGCTGGGTCCTGCCGGGAGTCACGTCTTCTCTTCTGAGGGTGATCCGTGTGGACAGGGCCAGGGAGCGGGCAATCCTGGCCTAGGAATCACCTGAGGGCACATTTTCGATTCAGGTCCCTCTCCACTTGGCTTCCAACAACTGCCAGGTGGACATGGATGGAGGTCAGGGTCACTGTCGTGGGTTCCTGGGTCTAGAGTCCAAATGACCTCTGAGTGACAACAAACAGGACAGTGAAGACCAGGCTCTTAATGAGGATTCCACAGGCCACAGGAACGACAATGCTGAACACAGGGAGCCTGTGGGCGAGAGAGAGAGAGAGCACTGCCACCAGCCATGAGGACCCCACACTCAAGGGTTTAGACATTCCTTCATGTTCCCATCTTATCCGCTCAGTTCCTCCCACAGCTTCCCAGACTGTCTGGCCCTATGCAAAGCCCTTCGCTCCATTCCCTAAAACAACCCATTAGAAACATGTTTAGTGAAAGTATAGGGTTCACGCCCAGGTGAGCTTCATCTTGCCTTGGATGCGGCAGAGAGAGAGGGCCCCGGGCCAGGAAAGCTCGGCTCATCTCTGTCCTCAGCACCGTGGCCTGCTTCCTGGGATGGTTGCCTCCCCTCCCCCCACCTCCACCTCCACCCCCTGCATTTAGCCTGTTTCCTTGTTTATAAATCAAGAAGAATCCAATCCTAGAGAAAATCCAATCCCGGATTTGTCTAGATGTTAACAAAATGATTCTACAAGTCCCAAGTAGACATCAGTAAATATCATGAGAAAGAGACCCAGTGAGAGCAGGGACAGGGGCATCCCATCAGCAGATCTGGAAGCAGATGTCAAGGCAAGTCCTCTACCCGCTGAGACACAGGGACAAGGGGAGGAAGAGGCAACAACGGAACAGAGGCCAGAGAACATTGTAATATTATATAAGAATTTAACATCTAAGGGAATCAGCAGCCCTGTGGGCAAAGCAAGGATTCTTTCATAACTATCTGTTTCATAACAGTGGGAAGAAAGAGTAATCTTTCTTCAATTCCACTCCCCAGCCCTGGATGGAAAATTTAAATAAATTGAAAAACAAAACCACAGAAAAATCACCAGGAAACAGAATTGAGCACATTTAAGGAATAAAACAAAGCAATAATTTTCAAACCAGCACACATTATCCATTCGAAACTTAAAACTGGATGTACAAACTAGCAGACAGAATCACCCCAGCAAGAGGCAAACTGCCCATCTATGCTGACACCCACCCTAGTCTCCACCTTGTCCTGTATCACCTGGGACTGCGTTCCCAAGGATGCTGGTCAAGTTCAGCAACCAGTCGTGCCAGCAGCCAGGCCCTGGGGACAGGGAAGCCAGCGTCTGCCTCGTGGTTGCAACGGTACCCACCAGGATGCCAGCCTCTGCCCTGGTAGAGCCTTCCTGCAGAGAGCCCTGGTTTCTGAGCTTCACTCACCCCACTCCCTCCCTAGGGCTCTGCCTGATACCCTGGAGCTATTTGTTTTCATGCCCAAGGATCCTGGGGGGCACCCACCTCCACTGGACCATCATCTCATGTCTTTCAGAGGCTGCACACAAGTCCCCAGAGCCCTGGGGTGCCTGGGAATTCATGGGCCCCGCTCATTGCTTAGAGCCCCTCTACCCAGTGACTGTGAATACAGAAATATCAATACTTGAGGTTTCCAGCACAGGGACACCTCTGTGTCACCCAGACCTTCCTTGAAAGACCAAAGCTGTCCCTGTGAAACCTCACTTATTTTCTTCCCTTTGCAGTCCCACTTCCTTAGTGGCTCTGCCAGTGATCACTTCCTAAAACATTTGAACAGGACTGTTTTTCCTACAGCCTGTCCCTCACACAGTAACCCTGAGACAGGATGCTCGGATCCCCCCCTCCAGGGCCTCACCACCCCCAGGTTGGGGCCTCCACTCTTCTGTCACCGGGACTAACCACTCCTTCTTTCTCAAACAGCTGTCGGTGACTTCTGACCAGCAGAACAGTTAATATTAGTTAACAGAGTTAACAGGTAAAAAGAGGTACAGTCTCTTCTAGGAATATGGGCAAAGATGCCCACATTCTCTACCTATTGAAAAGTAAAAGTAGTGAAGACAGAAAAGCGTTAACTCACACTAGATTATTTTATTTAATCCACAAAGCATAAATGAGCACCTGTTATGTACCAGGCACTCAGGCTGTGTGAGTAAAACTACATAAGGAGGAAGATAAATAAGTCATTGCCCACTCTCATAAGAATGGAAACTGAGTAGCTGATCTCCAGCTGACCTACATCCTGTAAGTTAACCAGTTCCAGACTATGGGTAATCCTTTTAATAATGTAGAAATTAAGAAAGTAGGGAAATATGTTACCTAGTACACACACTGCATCATGGGTAATGTGGTAATGATATGTAAAGAGGAAATAAATTTAGTCCCAACATTAAACAGAAAAATCACTGTCTCTATCTTCCTGGAGCAGGAGTCCACATTAATGAAGAAGTGAAGATGGTTACCAGGAATTTTTTTCTCTCCTTGATGCTGAGAATTAAACCCAGGGCCTTGCGCATGCTGAGCACACGCTCTGCCACTGAGTTATGGCCCCAGCTCCAGCAGGAATATTGTTACAACACTAAACCCACGTTGGCAACCTTCGGTGGCACTTATGCATTATGGATCACCTGCAAATTCTGTCCGATCGTTTGGAAGACCATTTATCCATAAGACGTGGATGCAGAATGATTTTGTTTGAATAAATGATTTTCTGATGACAACATCAATGACTAAGAATAGGCAAATGACTAGGTTCTTGATGATTTTTCCAATGGACAGAAAAGTATGTGCCCATTGAAATTCTAATTTGAGGAAGACTACGTAACAACATTGAAGGATAATCGGAGCATGGAAAATGATGCAATGGGTATAATTAGAATTAGCACCATGTGAAATATGAAGCGAGAATGAGGATCAGGTGAGAAGACGGGGGAAAGACATATCATCAGTGGGAATATGGAAGAATATTTCTTTCTCTGTTAATTCAATATTTAATGATAACACGTTCTAAGATAAATCAGCATTTAATAACAACTGTAAAGCAAGGTGTTCATGCCAACTCAGCTGCTCTTTGCTGCTATTGTTTGGATCTGAGGTGTTTTCCAAAGTCCAATGTATTAAAGGCTTGGTCCCCACATTGGCACTATTGGGAAGTCATGGAAACCTTGAGAAATGAGATCTGGTGGAAGGTGTTTAGGTCATTAAGGTCATGCCCTTGAAAGAGAGAGTGGGACCCCCAACCCCTTTCTCTTCCTTTTTTTTTCTATGTCCTGATCATAAGGTTTTGCCAGGCATTGCCACTGTGATGTACTGCCTCAACCCAGGCCCAAAAGCCATAAGGTCAACCAATCCTGGACTGATACTTCCAAAGCGTTGGGCCAAAATAAACCTTTCCTCTTTATAAACTTATTACCTCAGGTATTTGTTACAGTCACAGAAAGCTGACTAACATACCTACACTTTAGAAATCTCCTGAAAAAATAATTTAAATGTACTAAGACAGGACCCACCTCCAGAAATTTTCATTCCATTGGTCTATGGTAGAATATTTACACCAGTGTTAAAATCAAACAAAGCAAATAAAATCAAACAAAATAAGACAAAGACAAATGCTTTAGACAATCATAACCTAGAGCTGCTATGGAGCTACATGATCCCTTCCAGTTTTTTAGCATGCCTGCTGTACCAACAGGACACTGAAGCCAGAGAGGGTCCTGACCTGCCCAAAATCACACAGTTAGTTTGCCTGACACAAGAAACCAGGGTCCCTAACTCACAGTGCTTTTTCCATTGCACTATTAGACTGGATCACCTGGGATTTTCCTCTCCTCGTCACTTCGTTGTCCAAGGCAGGAAGAGGGTGAGCTGAGGAAAATGGCACCCTTGTTCAGAGTTTCCTCCTCACTCTACCACCACCCACTTCCTTCCCTGGGAATTTCCACCCAGACTGAAGCAACTCTTGCCCCACCCTCCCCACCTACCCCCATCCCTCTTCCACCACATCCTCTAAGCACATGAACTAGGGAACAAAGGATTTGGTGTCCAAACCAGGAGTCCCAAGGCCTGGAAATCATACCTGATGGCATCTGTGGGGTTGACTGTGGTGTTCGGGGGGATGACAGCTGTTGACATGGGTAGGGATTGGACCACCGTTCTGGAGCTGGTATAGAATGTTCTCAGGGTCTTCGTGGTAGGAAGGGTGGTGGGACGGATGGTAGTAGGAGCCAATTTAGGGGTAGAATTCTTGTCAGAAGTACGCTTAGTTGAAGGATCTGCAAGAAGCACATTGGATGGATGGATAGATGGATGGATGGATGGATGAGTAGGTGGATAGATGGATGAATGGATGGATGAATAGATGGCAAGTAGATGGAGCCACAGGGGGAGATGAAAGTAACCTTTCAAGAAGCAAGGTTTTCCTTTGCCAAAACCAAAAATGTAGTATAAGGTTAGCCTCAGTCAGAGATAGGAAGGAGGAAGAGAGAAATGGAGGAAGCAAGGGGAGAAAGGAGGAAGGAAGGGAGAGGGAGAAAGGAGCTCTCAGGGTATCTGGGTTATTGGAAATGTACGTGCCTGCTCTTCTTTACTTATCTATATGCCCCTCCTTTTTCCAAGAATAATTCCCTTGTTATTCTATTGTATCCCATTCACTCTGCCTCTTATAAGTACATATTACTTTAAAAGTTATCTTGTGGGCTGGGGTTGTGGCTCAGTGGTAGAGCGCTTGCCTAGCATGTGTGAGGCACTGGGTTGGATTCTCAGCACCGCATACAAATAAATAAAAATAAGGATCCATTGACAACTTAAAAGAATAAGTTATCTTGTATTAATCCACTGCATATGTGCCATGTCTTAGGCTTAGAATTCCCCTAGTGCTAGGAACTTCAACCTGTCTGCCTTTCCTTTCCTCTGTCTTCCTTAGTTCATGTAATATTAGTTGCTGGGGACAGAGAGCCCAACAAGGCACAGGCCCTTTCTCAAGGAGTTTGAAGATTGATAAGGGAGACAGATAAGTAAACCAGTCACTACTCCCCCGTGAGATCATATTGTCCACAGAAGGACCCCGAGTGAGCCTGCAGACATGCTCCCGACAAGTGGGAGTCACCTTGGGCCTACCAAGTCAGGATCTGTATTTGAAAGGAGACCCCCACACAGCTGACACTCCCTGGGAGGCCTGGGGTACACTGTTTTAAAAGCTTGGGAGGAGGAGAGGGAAGTCACAGGAGGCTTCCCAAGGACATGTCTTCTAAGTGGAGACCTGAGGTAGGGGAGTAAATTCTCCCATATCTACTGCTCACCTTTTATAGCACCCCACTTCCCATAACTGTACCCTAAATTAGGCTCTGCAACCCAAAGGGAATCCATGCTTAGAAGCCTCTGCTTGCTGTGTGTGAAATGCCTGTTGAGGGCCTCACAGAGCAGACAAGGAGCTTCTGGGAGAACGCTGGCTGGCTAGGACTCCTGAGCTCTGCTGGTGACACCACCACATCCATCCACTCCCAGGTCACTCACCCGCGGTCACCACCAGGCGGACAGGATGGAACAGGAGGTCAGGCTCCTTGGGAGGAGGATAGTAGACCACACACCGATACAGTCCTGAGTCCTCCACTTGAAGGTTGATCATTCGGACCTGAAACATGGACTCCGCAGGGTCATCTCTGAGAATGTACCTCCCCACCTGGATTTGATTGAGTGTCCCCTGAGATCTTTCTGTGACAGCCAGTGTCTGGGGCTCCTCCCCATTCCTCAACCTCTGCCAAGCCTTCTGGCTGTAGGCATACTTCCTGTTGGAGGGACAGTCCACTGTCAGGGTCTCCCCCTCTTGTAGGACATACTTTTCCTCTTTTGACTGAGCAGCAGCTTGGAGTCCTATAAGCAGGAAAACACAGTTAGTCTCTGTCATGAAGAGTTTGGAAAGAAAAGGAGCCAGCTCGTTTTCTTGTCTAACCACCCATTTTTCAGATGAGGTCCTTGAGGCCTCTGGAGAAGAGGCATCTTTCTTTTTAAGCCACACTGGACACTAATCTCTCCACCACGAAGTGTTGGGTTTTGTTTTTTACAACAAGAGCCACCCTGAGCAGAGTCCATGAAAATTCAATTTGATAAATGATCCTTTTGAGAGGAAGTAAGTGCCAGAACAAGGGATACTGTACAGAGATCATGGTGGCTGAGGCATGGCAGAGGGTATAGAGAGGGGCATGGGGTGAAGAGAGGCGAGAAAGACATGATACCAGCAGAGAGCCATTCTCCAGGAAGCTTGAGGACTTCAGCTAAGTCAGGGGAAAGAGATAAGTTCAAGAAACCATTGAACAAACAGGGAGGAGGCTATTCTGAGGACACAGTGGACAGGGGAACCCACAGTTCCCTTCGCTCTCCCTTCCTTGGGTAGCGCAGCTCTCTTAAGTGGCTTACCCATGGGCCCGCCCACGTTCTCAAGCACAGCCCCACCAACTGGCCAATTAAAAGTTCCCCCTTGCCCTGGCCACACTGATTGGTCATCAGCTGAGCCAATCAGAATCCTCCCCGAGACTGTTGCGGCTATGGGGAGGGGGGACGTTCCTTCTGGCCCGGGCTGAAAATGCGGGCTGTGGAACTCCCGCTGCCGTCTTTCTACCACTTGGAAACGGCTGTCCGAGAATGAGGCCGGAGGCCGAGGGAGCGAGCCAACAGTGTTACCTGTCTTGAGTTTAGCGGTGCTCCAAAACTGCACCCCTAGGCTCCCCCAGTACCCCAGCCGAGAGACCCCTCCTCCTGTTTTTGACAAGGAGACACAGCGTTGTTCCTCCACTGGGGACAAGTCCTCCTCCCTCCCCCCAGGGTCACTGAGCAATGTCCGGAGACACTGCTGTTGTTATAACCAGGGATGGAGGTGGATGCTGCTGGCATCTAATAAGTACAGAAAAGCGACAGTGGCCAAAATATCAGGAGTGCTGAGTTTGAGAACCCCGGGTTTACAGAGACAGTAAGAGTGATTTTTCTGCTCTAGTCCAAGCAGGGCTTGCTGATGGAGGTGCAGAAGATCCTGTCTGTGCTTCCAGGGGGACACTCGGGGCTCTGTGGTTCACTAAGGGACCACAGTGTGTCCACTCAAGCCTGGAGACACCTTGCTCCAGGGAATACCAGGAACAGGTTGGACAGTAATGCCGGGGCAAATCGTGGGTCAGGCCACCCCTACCTGCAATCACCACCGCGGTTCTCAACACCATGACTGCACTTCCTGGCACTCTCATCCTCCGTGATAGTTCAGGAGTGCCGCGGTGAACAACGCCAAGAGTTGTCCTTTCAGTGAAGTGCTTACCTTCCCTGTTGGCCAGGCCAGGCTCCTGAGGCCCTGCCTATCTCAACCTGACCTTAGGAAGACCCTCCTCAGGGGCTCCTGGGGGTTTGAAGGTGAAGCAGAGCTTGAAGGCCAATTCACTTCTAAGGAAACCTTTCGAAGGTTTTCCCATGCAATGTCTATGCACCCTGGCCAGGAACACCCTCCACAAAAGATGGTGAGCAGAGGTGGAGAGATATCTTAAACCAAGTTTAGTTCCTCATTTATGGAACTATGGCTGAAAGCCTTCTCTGTGCCAGGCACTGTGCTGGACTTTGTGAAAGACACATCAACTCCAACTTCTGGTTGCCACCAGGGAAGACCTAACTTCCCACATTAATGTTACAGATGGATTTCCACTCTTTTTACAAACTTGACCACCTCTTGCGAAAGAAGACAGAAATATATGCTCAAAAGCAGTCTGTACCCCATCACAAGAAAGGAAACCCTTTCAACACACTAATAAAAAAATACCAATAATAATAATTACCATCTGCCAAGTATTATATGCTAAATGCATTATCTTACTTAATCTTCATCACTTATAAGGTTGCCACTGTTATTCCTATTTTATGGATAAGGAAACTGAGGGACAGAGAAGCTAAGTGATTTGCCCAAGGTCCCACAGCAATAAGGGATGGAGTCAGAATTCAAACCTAGAGAGTCAGCGCAGTGTGTGCTAAGCCTCTGAGCTACATTGTCCAACACTGTTGTCTGATTGGAGTTACAGCATCCCCACCCAAGGATGAATGGGCATCTAGCTGGGAGGGGCTTTGGGGTGAACCCCTAACCTATCCCTGTAGGGTATAATGAAATATACAGCTCTGTTTTTTTTCTCTCACAAGTACCCAACCTTCAATCCTCTGCTTCTCCCAGTTGTCCTTCAGAAAAACATAAGTAAAATAAAAGCAAATGCACTGGTTCATGAGAAACCAGTTCCTATTCGCCTCGGTGACAGTCCCAGCTCCAATGAGATCCAAAGGAAGCACCCCCAGGTAGCTGCCCTTGACCCTGCTCAATAGGTCCCAGAGACAGCCACTCCCTGGGCTTCTATCTCTTCCCAAGGCAAAACTTGTTTTTAAAGTCTTGTCATTTCCCCTGTCTTATTCGGGTTGATTAGGAGGAAGAACCAGCAACGCCCCAAATGCTCTGCAGATTGTAAGAGACCCGTAGGGCTGGGGATGTATCAGCTCTGCTGAGCGTGCACAACAGGGCCCTCCAGCCCCAACACGCAAAAGAAAGTAGGGGTCCTAACCTCCTGGAGAAGGGGCTCCAGGCTGCTTCTGTTCCCACCTGTGTCTTTAGCAGTAGCAGATTTGCTGATTCACAGTAGGCCCCAGGAAATACTTGTTAAATATATGGTATCTTTTGAGTTAACAGATGTCCACATTAAAAGCACCATGATGGAACACATAAAGTCCAATTTTCTGTATAATTTTTAAAAAGTACTAATTTAAAAAAGAGAAAAATGCTTTTCAAAATCAGACAAAATTATTTCTGATCGTACCCGAGTTAGATTTCCTCTATCATTATTTTCATCTAGGGTTTTTCTGTCTTTGACATCCAAATGCAAAATGCACAGGGAGGCTGGGGACATACCTCAGTGGGAGAGCACAGATGCCTAGCATGCATGAGGACCTGGGCTCGCTTCCCAGGACTGCCCAAAAAAAAAAAAAAATCAGAAACATCTTTCTTCCCTAATTTCACCCTTCTTTGATGTCTGTGCTCAGACCTGTGCGTTCTCCTGGTCCTGCAGACCTTGGGTAGAGAAGCTCAGACTGCTTTAACTGCTGGTTGGCTTTGTCTTGGGTGGCCGGGTGCTCTGGTGCTTCTAAAAGAGAAGGTCTCCTGGGGTCCAAACCAGAGGTCTCACCTGCTCGCACCTCTCCCTTGCCTTACCTGAAAAAAACAGCGTCCACAGTAGCCCCCAAAGCATCATCCTTCAGGGATTCCAGCTCCAACTGCCCCTGTGGGCTCCTGTGTCAGTTATAAGGCACCACCCTGACACAGTGGCTCCGGAAAGTTGCTCAACAGGACATGAGGCCATTCCTGGAAGGTTCCGGGTCAGATGCTTTGTTCCATCACTGTTGACTCTGGTTGCATACGTCAATGAGGAATCCAGAGACCACGGCCCAAGATTCAATTAAGCTTCTTTGAACCTCAATTTCCTCTTCTCTAAGACCCATGGTAATTACCTTCTCAGCCTCACAAAACTTAAGTGAGCTGGGAGCGATGGCACACACCTGTAATTCCAGTGACATGGGAGGCTGAGGCAGGAGGATCAAAAGCTGGAGGCCAATCTCAGCAACTTAATTAAGCCCTGAGTAACTCTTAGCAAGACCCTGCTTCAAAATAAAAAATAAAAAGAGATGGGGATAAAATGATAAAGTGCCCCTAGGTTCAATCCCCAGTACCCCCCTGCAAAAAATTGTGAGAATAATTGTGGTCAATTATAATTGCTGCCACGACATCCATTTTAAATACAGTTTTCACTTTCTCAATCCAGCTGCAGGCCTTAGTCACTTCTGACACTGTGTCCAGTTCCTCAAAGCGGTGGATCCAGATATCTGACTCATACAACTTCCTCCTAGTGACCATCTTCCTTGGGACAGCCGAACACAGTCCACTTCACTGGGCCCACTGGACTTGTGCAGATATGTCGCTGTTACCACCACTTGATCACAGTGTGACCTCCCAGGACTCAGGCCTGCTTGCTTTAAATGGCAGCAGTTACATTTCCCTGAGTGAGGGGCTGGGGTGTGGCTCAGTAGTAGAGCGCTTGCCTAGCATGTGTGAGGCACTGGGTTCTATCCTCAGCACCACATAAAAATGAAATAAAGATATTGCGTCCACCTCCAACTAAAAAATAAATATTTTTTTTAAAAATCCCTGAGTGAAACCTGCCCAAGACCCCTAAAGGTGTTGGTCCACAAGTTGTGATCTCTCTCCACTCACTCCCTGGCCTGCATGTGAGGGGCCTCTGGGCATGCCCCATACCCACTGGGACCTGTAAGTAAAAAAATCGTTATTTCCTTCTGTGTGTCTGCTAATCATTGAGGGGGTGCTCTTCACCTTGAAGGTTCTCAGTCAGAACTATTGGCAGGACGGAGAGTGCTTCTGCCTCTAACATCCACCAGGGGAGGCGGTGCTGTTCCCTGTAGTTCAACTGACCCCCCTCTGCTGCCGTCACCTCTGTAGAGTGCCACTAGGCTGTCCACCCTAAAATGTTAGTGACAATGATAATGCTCTGTCATGTTCCTCACGACTAAAACACTCAGGCTCACTCCAGGGGAACTGGGCTGCACAAAATAACCCCAAAAGAGACAGAGGTATCTTTTTCTTTGGGGTCCTGTAACAGCTCCTCAGACCTTAAGGGTCCACAGAAAGAGAGAGAGAGAGAGAAAGAGAGAGCACATGCTGACTCCTTTTATTGAGGAGAAGCCATTCAAATGAGGCCAGGGGTCAAGTTTCAGGGTGCTGAGTCTAGCTTCATGATGTCCACTGTCAGCAGGTTGACTGACATCTAGGAAGGCCACACCCAAGGGCAGAGCAAGAGAAGGGAACACATTAAGGGTGTTTCCATGGAACATTCTATCTCAAACAGGGCAAAGGGTGGTATCACAAAGGAACAGGTGAGTAGCTCCATCCATGGGGTGACACGCCTACGTCTGAAGACGCATCCTCAACCTCTGGGACCTGGGCAAAGTTCAGGTCACTAGAGATGTAGTGACGGTCAGAGCCTCTCCGCTCTGGGACAGAGAATATGAGTCATTCAGAGGGGCCTCCCCACAATGCTCCCCAAAGTGATCTGGCCCACCCCAAGAGGGACTCTAGTCTAGACCAAGGGCCAGGGTGGCTCTGGGACCCTGACTGGGAAGGCGCCCACACGAGGCAACTCTCTTAGAGTGAAATGTGACATTCCTAATCCCTTGTCCCCAGTAACAACTATTTCTCTGTCCCAGCCTGAGCCAAGGTGAGCTCCTGAGACCACAGGGCAACATTCTCGCTAATGAAACAACTGGGGGACAACGTCCCAGAGCCCCACAGTTCTCCTCATGGGGTGTGGTGGGGTGTGACAGCAGCGAAGTGTCACTGGGGGACCCCATTCAGACTGGAGGTATCTGCAGTTGGTACAGTGGGTCTAATGCTAGAAAGGGTGGCCCCTGCTGGGGTCCACCCTGCTTTCTAGCTGGGTCCCTTGATCCTGTCACCCATGTCCCCAGCCCCATGGGGTATCATGAGTCTAATTCCTGGCCTCATATGGCTAAGACTCTGATGGGGATAAATATAAATACTCAGGACACTTGGTCCCTGTCCCACCACAGACACCAGAGGATGTCAAAGCAGCTCTTGGGTAAATGCCAAACTCCCAAGGAAGCCGCAGAGGCCCGGCTGGGTACTCTGCCTGCAGAGGTGGGGCCTGGGAACCAGGAAGATGGAGAAGAAGAATCGCACTGGGGGACACTGACCTGATCCCTCAGAGTCGATTGGGACACCTGGAAAGGGAAGTGGCTGTCCAGGAGGCCAGCAAACACAAGGTCAGACATATATGTATATATGTATATATATATATATATATATATATTTTTTTTTTTTTTTCTTGTAACAATCAGTATAAAGTCAAAAACAGTCTACTCAGTCCCACCAGGATGAGGTCAGCAACTGTAGAGAGACAGGAGAGGGAAAAATTTTTAGTCACTTAGAAATGCAAAAGATTTTACTTAAAAGAGAAAGATTGGGGGGGCAGGAACTGACGAGCATGTGGTGGGGCCCTCCCTGGAGGCACGGGGCCCCTTTCCTCCTCCCTTTTTCCTTCTTATCAACCACAGACAGACGCTAAGAACCTGGCTTCAGGTGGCTAAAAACCTAAAAATGAAAAAGCCTGCTGTTCTTAGGCAGCAACAAGTCCCAGGGGGAAGGAAACTTGCAGCTTTAAGTCCTGAGCAGATGCCAGGCGTGGGGATGGTGATGCTGGACCTCGATTACTTACGTCATTTAGGAACAGATCGCCAGGTAACTGGGGAAATAAAAGGTAATCAAGTAAAATATATGCACATATATTTAAATATAATATGAAATAGGTAAATGTATATACACTTTCCTTAATGTGTTTCCATTGAAATTCAAAAATCATGCATTAGTTTATATGCCAAAAAATTCTACAACCAAAAAAATTTTAGCTGGGTCCAGTGGTGCACGCTTGTAATCCCAGTGACTTGGGTGGCTGAGGCAGGAGGATCACAAGTTCCAGGCCAGCCTCAGCAACTTAGCAAGACCCTAAGCAAATTAGTGAGACACTGTCTCAAAATAAAAATTAAAAATAAATAAAAAGGTATGGGGACATAGTTCAGTGAAAAAAAACACTACTAAGTTCAATTCCTAGTACAAAAAAAAAAAAAAATTAAAGGACACCGATTGGTTTTTGATCCTACAGTTTAGGTTCTTACTAAACTTTAACATATATGACAACACAATGGTTCTCAAAAATTCACGGACTTCCTATTGCAGCATAGATTATAGTTCTACTTGGGGATCCTGCTAAATTTAAACCCTGCCCTATAATATTGAAAAAGGCAACTAAATATTAATGTTTTATAAAAGAATATGCATCCCCATAACCATAGTTTTGCCTAAATTTCCTACAGTCATATACTCATTGCTGTGAAATATTCTATGTCGGTCCTGGATGCTCTGACACAATGAATGAATTAAAATTAGCCCTGGGGGTGTGGCTCAACGGAGGCGTGCTTGCCTACCATGCCTGAAGACCTAGGTTCAATCCTTAGCAACAAAAAGTAATAAATACAAAACCACCCTAAGATACCATCTCACTCCAGTAAGATTGGCAGCCATTATGAAGTCAAACAACAACAAGTGCTGGCGAGGATGTGGGGAAAAGGGTACACTTATACATTGCTGGTGGGACTGCAAATTGGTGCAGCCAATTTGGAAAGCAGTATGGAGATTTCTTGGAAAGCTGGGAATGGAGCCACCATTTGACCCAGCTATTCCCCTTCTGGGTCTATTCCCTAAAGACCTAAAAAGAGCATGCTACAGGGACACTGCTACATCGATGTTCATTGCAGCACAATTCACAATAGCAAGACTGTGGAACCAACCTAGATGCCCTTCAATAGACGAATGGATTAAAAAAATGTGGCATTTATACACAATGGAGTATTACTCTGCATTAAAAAATGACAAAATCATAGAATTTGCAGGGAAATGGATGGCATTAGAGCAGATTATGCTAAGTGAAGCTAGCCAATCCCTAAAAAACAAATGCCAAATGTCTTCTTTGATATAAGGAGAGTAACTAAGAACAGAGTAGGGACGAAGAGCATGAGAAGAAGATTAACATTAAACAGGGATGAGAGGTGGGAGGGAAAGGGAGAGAGAAGGGAAATTGCATGGAAATGGAAGGAGACCCTCAGGGTTATACAGTGGAGGGGGTAGAGAGAGAGGAGGGGAGGGGAGGGGAGAGGAGGGGAGGGGGGATGGTGGAGGATAGGAAAGGCAGCGGAGCACAACAGACACTAGTATGGCAATATGTAAATCAATGGATGTGTAACTGATGTGATTCTGCAATCTGTGTATGGGGTGAAGGTGGGAGTTCATAACCCACTTGAATCAAAGTGTGGAATATGATATGTCAAGAAATTTGTAATGTTTTGAACAACCAACAATAAAAAATTAAATAAAAAAAAGTAATAAATAAATAAAAGTAAATTTTTGTCCCTTAGCAACAGGCTGAAAAATAGAGGGCCCATAAGCTCATAATGAAGACAGTCCATAGGGCAAATGTGACTGGAAATGGGGCCCTGCAAGATCAAGACTTATTATATGAAACCTCCTTAATAAATGGGTGATTATCCCAGGGCTTCTCCACTG